CTCCTCTGTTTCACCGGAATCCTTCTGATACACTTCTTCCACACACACGGTATCCCTCATTTTTCAAGTTCTCTTGCTTCTGTTCTGGCTGCTGAAGCAGTTCCCAGCAGGTCCTGGGCTGTGGCAGGAACAACACTTTGTAAACACGAATCCCACCAGGCCATCACCTGTTGAAGTCCCTTTGCAATTTTCTGTTGGTTTCAGGATGAAAATGACAACAGTTAAGATGTCCATGGGCTGTCCCATCTGGCAGTGTATTAGTTCCCTGTCCTCCTGACACTGGGCAGCTGGATGACCTTGCCTCAGTTCTTCAAGCTCACCATTTCCCCGTCTACTACAGGGCCTTTGTGCAGACTGTTCTCGCAGTCTGGAAGGTTCTCCACTCCTGTTTCTCACTCTTGGTCCACAGATCCTCCCAGCTTCCACAGAGAGCCTTCCTGGACCGCTCGGGTCTTTCTGCTATGTGGTATCACAACACTTGCCACTGTTGTGTGTACGTAGCCATGGCTAACATGAAAACTTAATTGATGTGTGTCTCAGCAACAGGACAAAAGTGTTCTGTGCTTTTGCTCATCTTTATATCCCTGAATCCTGAAATATTGCTTGGGAAATGATATGCACACAATTCAATTATTTGGACAAATGAATAAATAACTAAGAAACCAGCGTTTTCATCAATAGTTTTGTCTTTCCCATACAAAAGCCACTTGAACAAAATTTTAAAGTACTTTTTATAGAAGTCACCATTTTTGCTTTTTTAAAAGTGTTATTAGGATTAAAATAGCAAGTGAGACCAAAAAATGCTATGAATTTCGTTGACTAAAAGAAAAATTGCTTACACACCTCTCAGTCACAATTTTATTAAGTGAATTTGTTTATCTTGCTAATATTTTTGATAAGAAGCTTGGTTTGCTTTTTGATAGGGTTTTGACAGTCAACAGACCTCACTGCATCGTTGCCAGTTTATTTCACAGCATGTTAAAAAAAAAAAAAACCTCTTCTAATTTCCTGAAATGTCTCCTCCTCTTGTATTATTCTCACAGTGTTTAGAATTTGCCTCATATTTATCTATCATACCCAGATAGAATAAGACAAAAATAAGAATAATAGGGCTCCACATATCTATACTCTGATTGATTCTTTTGAATTGTAGAAAGATTCAAACTATCTTCCTCTCCAGACTTCTTTATCAAATACATTGTAAGTAATTTTCAATTCTTCTCCAGACTGTTACCAAACTTCTACATCAACTGTATTATTTTTAACCAACTGGCTGGTATCAGCACAATGATGGTTCATGAGCTTTCTGTAGTGAGTGAGCTGCCACCTCAGGAGCAAGGCAGCAACTTCCTTCAAATGATATTCTTGGCCTGTTTTCATTGGTATATTTAAATTTTGTTTGCCTACAATTTTCCCTCTGGAGTAAGCTCATCAATTACACAGAAAGAACCTGTGTCATCTTGATTTGCTCAGTGTGCTTTGTTCTAAGATAAAATTGAAACTTGGTGGAAAGGGTAGGACATACTACACAAGGACACGGAGGATTGTAGGAATGTGTTAATCACCCTAAAAGATGAAACCAATGACATAATTGTCATCGTACATTCTCTACCTGACTTTTCATGAGCGTTTTTTAACACTTTTGTTCTATCCTGTTTTGCCATTTCAAGAAGGTGTATACGATCTGACAAGTTAGTTGGTTTTAGGAAAATATGACTTTATTTTGCATTCAATCAATCTCAAACATCCCTTAAAAACTTCTATAAATTTCCCATTACCAATCCAGATCCTATTCCTTCCCTTAAAAACAATTATTCAGCTGATTAGGGCCGAATTGTTTTGTTTTAATTGATAAGTATAAACGTAATTCAGAATTTGAAAGTATTTTTAGATTTTTTTTTTAATTCAGTCTCTTCGAATTGCTTTACAAATTTACTTCATTTTATTCTCGTAACAAACCCATGGGGAGACTTTGTTTTATACCCTATTTTAAGTAAGAAGCAATTAAGCGTAGGGAAGTTAAATGTGTTCCTCAAGGCTCGTGACCAACCTGACCAGGTCCTATCACTCAGGCTCAGAAAACCAAACTGTGAACCCCAAGATTGTTTCCACCAAGGAGGCATTTTATTAGCAAGTGGGGCCATGGCAGGACACTGGCCACATCAGTTATCAAGAAATGTACACCTGTCCTATGGCAGGTGATGGAAGATGCCATAGAAAAGAAAGTAATGTGGGAACTTGCAGGTGTGGGGAGTTTCTTCATTCTCAGGTCTGGGGGTTGGATGGTGCCAGGGAGTCAAGGGGAGTCAGTGATAAGATTATTATTATATTTCTGGAAGATTCTCTCTCTTTTGTGTTCTCAATTAAAAAGAACTGTGATAGTGAAGACAAAGATAAAAAGCTGGGACTACGTCAAATTAAAGAGCTTCTGCACAGCAAAAGAGACAATAACAAAAACAAAGAGAAACCCCACCAACTGGGAGAACATTTTTGCACCCAACACTAATGATAAAGGACTGATTACAAAAATCTGCAAAGAGCTGATGAGACTCAGCAACAACAAAGAAAATAATCCAGTCAAAAAATGGGCAGAAGAGCTAAAAAGAAACTTCTCTGAAGAGGAAATGCAAATGGCCAACAGACATATGAAAAAATGTTCAACATCACTTGTCATCAGGGAAATGCAAATCAAAACTACCATGAGATACCATCTCACACCAGTGAGAATGGCACATATTAAAAAAACTAGCAAACAAATGTTGGCGAGGGTGTGGAGAAAAAGGAACTCTTCTGCACTGTTGGTGGGAGTGCAAACTGGTCCAACCACTATGGAGAGCTGTGTGGAGATTTCTGGACCTACTAAACATAGAGCTTCCATAGGATCCAGCAATTCCACTCCTAGGTATTTACCCAAAGGACACAGAAACATCAATTCCAAAGAGCACCTGCACCCCTATGTATATAGCAGCACTGTTTACAATAGCTAAGCTTTGGAAACAACCCAAATGCCCAAAAATAGATGACTGGATCAAGAAGATGTGGTACATATATACCATGGAATATTACTCAGCATTCAAAAAAGATAAACACATGCAATTTGCAGCAACATGGATGGCGCTGGAAGGGATCATGCTCAGCGAAATAAGCCAAAAAGAAAAAGAAAAATACCGGATGGTCTCACTCATAGCAGGAATCTAGAAAACTTAAATAAGGGACCAGGAAAATGAATATAAGAAAGTGAAAATCAAAATCAACAAAAAACTATGAACCAGAGACACTTTTTGGGGGGTGGGGGCGGGAGGGGAAGGATTGGGGTCAGAATGGGGCGTTTGCAATTGTATGGGGAATATAAAAATAAAATTTATTATTTAAAAAAAAAAAAAAAAAAAGAACTGTGGGAGTCAGCATCCTCAGTAAAACAGAAACATCCCCCTGGCCCTGCTTCTGAGTCCTGGGTCAAGCCGTTATTTTTGGTTCAGGCCCAACTACAGTTGTACCGACATGGTCATTACATGGCAGAGCTGAGTTTTATTTGTAGGCAGTTTAGTTTCAGAACCTGCCTTTAAGCATCAACAAAGGTAAATTGGACCAACAGCACCAGAGGTAACAGTTTCCCTAAAGCTGCAGGTGCTGTGGGGGCCTCCTGTGTTCACATCACAGGAGGGACACCTCCTTGAACGGATCCTCTCATGCTGATGTGGGGTCCACACATCAATTACCTGTGGAAAGATCTACACAGACTTGAGTTCAGGGCCAATGCAGTGCTAGCAACTTCTCAGTATCCATAAGAAATGAAAAAATACCTTTTAAAAGATCAAATCCAAATCCAACTCTCTAGAAGACCTCAGAAGCTGGGGTTTTCAGGAGCCATTGAGTTGCCTGTACTACAGAGCGCTAAGGAGTTCACTTCACCTCTCATTTCCTTTCCAGGGCACAGTGTCTTGAACATGAAATCCTTAAGATGCTTGACTTCTATTTTCTTGGTTAAAAGAGGATTTTTTTTTTTCTTTCAATAAAAGAATTCTGATCCGTGGGCATAGATTACCACATACCAGAGTTGAATTACTTTTCTTTGCTGAAGAAGCCTTTTCCAATTTCAGAATGACTTACCATTCCCCCCCCACCCCAATACTATGTGGAAGCCCCCTTCAGTTGGGTTCATCTCTAGTGCTTATTTGCTGTGCACAGCCCTGTCGCCAAACAGCATTCTCAGCTATACCAGACACACAGCAGTCATCCTGAAGGAGTAGAAAAGCTTCAAAATGAACATACTGAGGAGGATACAGAGACAGATATCTATATATCTATTTATCTATAGATCTCTCTCTAGATAGCTATCTTCCTATAAAATGTACCCACTGTGTGAAAAGGCCATGCAGAACAGGTTAATTATGTATATATGATAATAAAATGTATGTAATATATAATGTGTGTATATGTGCATATATATAGACAAACATTATATACATAAATATTACATAGAAAAAGAAAGCCTGAGATAGATGAGTGTTTCTGAGATGATTATGGAGTAAAAAAATACTACGCTATAACCTCATCCTCAGCACAAATTCTCCCCATCTGGTGCCTAGCAGGACGCGTAGAAGAAAGCAAACAGTAGGGCCTCCCTGGTGGCAGAGCAGGTTGAGCACAGCGCTGTGAAGCTGTCCACAGCTTCTGCAGCATGGGTTCAATTCCTGGCTGGCCAGGGAGATACCCACATGGCACGGCAGACCTCTCCTGTCATGCCTGCTGTAGGAGAGAGGAGGTTGGGAGTGGGGGTGGGCTCAGTCAATTGAAACAGCCTCAGTTTGCAAAGTCATCCATAGCTTATTCTTTTCCATATCTTCTGTGCTTCCTTCCGTTCCAGTTTTTCCCAAGCAGCCCACAGCCTTGAGTTAGCTTACTTTGTAGCTAATGTTAGGCAAAACTCACATTATTGGTAAAAAAAATAATTGATCAAGTTTTCTTCCAATTTATGTATTTCATTTACTTTATTCCAGGGATCTTGCTCTTGGAAGAGAAAAAAAAAGCAACTTAGAATTTCCGTGTAAGCAAAACAACTGAAGACCTCCTTCAAGAAGAAGAGAAGAGAAGGTAAGTCCCAGAGACTGAAATAGCTCTGGAATTACTGGATGAAACAAAAAGGCTCTTAACATCACAATTTGTTTATATTGACAAAGTGAGACTTTCGTTAAACTGCAGTTTACTTTCTGTTATGTTGTTAGCCTTCATGAATTAGCTGTAGGTAAACAACTCCAAACATAAAATTCCAGTAATCTAATTTTCATACTCTTTCTGATAATATGAAAGTCTTGGCGTCATTATAACCTCTTTGTTTTCCTAGAAAATTAGATGAATGAGAATATTCTAAAATATAGAATCTTTACTTCTAGCTGGAGAGAATTTCCTACCAGGAGAGTGGTCCAGGCAGAATGGCTTATAGAGGCTGTGTTTATGAGTGTGTGTGTGTGTGTGTGTGTGTGTGTGTGTGCGTGTGTTCCACTTTGGAAGTGATTTGAGGGTCTCTTGTTCTTGGGAATTCTTCATCCTTTCTGAGCAGCAGATACATGACAAGCTTAGAGAATTAAACATGTACCTGGTTATTTTTTCCCTCACCTTGATATAGTTCAGTGCGTTTTCTCAATGGTCACCACAGTCTAGTTAATTTAAAGCTTTTGAACCTTGTGAAAAGATTCGTTTAAAACTGTATTCTGAGGGGGCTCCATGAAAGAAAAAGTGTCTGCCGTCCAGAAGCTAGAAAAGAGTGTACAGCAGAAAGTCCCATGGAGTGGCCTCCTCGGGCTGGATGTACAGGGCTGTGTCCAGAAGGCCCATGTCTCAGGGCCGGGTTCTCACACTGTGCCTGACTCTGTGGCCTGAATGGGTCCAACTCTGAGTTTCCTTACTTCTGACTGAGGATGTGTTTCTTCCTGTAATACAAAATTCAGTGAAAATCTCCATGTAGAAAAAAAGCTCCTTCCAAATGATGAAATGTTAATATTTTTGTATAGGAAAAACTGCGTCACTAGAGTGGATTTCTTCATGATGCTCTTCATTCAGGGACAATATAGTGTTCTTTTTTAAGGTGAAGAAACACCCATGCTGGGAGAGCAGGTGCCCATATCTGGAGCATCTGTGACAATAGCTCTAGTTTTTTTCACTGAAAGAATTTCAAATTCAGTTGCTAGATAGGAACTAACTTTATATCCAAAGCAAGTAACTTTCACTTTTTCCCAACACTGAAGTGAACACAAATTTAGTACTTGCTAAAGAGTTTGTGATTTTGAGCTCACAGAAGGGCAAAGATAGAAGGATTTTTTTCAAGAATAAAATGCTGGTTTAATTGTTACATCAAAGAGCAGTGATTCTTCTTATACTCTCTTCATATCCCTCTGAGGCACTGACTTTTTACTTTTCCCCTAAGAATCTTCCATTTTATTAAAGAGAGTCCTTTAATAAAATGTTCTTGGGTGCATATGTACTCTTTCTCGCAGTCATTGAATAATGAATCGAGACTTAAAAAATCTCCACGAGGGATGCTGGGTAGCTGCCATCTCCAGCATCTGGGTATCATCTTCCCTGCATGTCAGCTCTGGCCAAAGTGGGACTTTTCTGTGAAGATAAAACAAATATTACAAAATAGACGTTCATAATTTACCATCATGTATTTCCTCAACGGCTACTCTTTGAAGACCCCTTTAAGAATTTTCACATGGCATCTCTCCCAGAGCCTCTGGAGGCAGAGGCCCAGAAATGCACTTACAAGATGAACAGTCTCCATGAGAAGTGAGTTTTTTGCCTTGCTTTGCTGATATTTTCATCAAATCCTCCTCTGACTATTCATTTAAATGTGAATCGTGACAAAGGCAAAGCCTGTGAATACTCTTAACTGTATAGTTTTATAATAGACTTCAAATCAATTACATTTTTAGGATAAATTATCACTGAAGTATTCTGGGAATTAGGTACAAAGCTCCTCTTAATACTGATGGGAGCCTCGTTCCTAATGTCATACCCTCAAAGCTAAAATGTAATCACTTGTGTGTTTTCTCCTGTTAAAAATATAACTCAGTATTCAGTGCAAAAGCTCTAGTCGGTTCTCTGAAATGTAGTTGAGATTCCTTCAGATCTCCAGTGTTTCACCTTAGAAAAAGCACTTTCTGTGAATGCCACCGTCACCAAACATGTCAGCCTCCCCTTGTCTTGTAAGTACCCTCTCTTCAGTCCTTTCTCTTGTCAATTCATGAAAAGCACTCTTCCCGAAGCATGAGATTCTCTAGCACAACCATTTAATAGCTAATATATAAACCTAAATGTTTTAGGGCTCCTCTGAGATAAACGTTGAGTGATAACTTTTCATAGGAGGCAGTCGCTGCCGGGGAGGTAGGCTGCATCCTTAAAAACACACATAGAAGCATTTCTCTTTTAATTTTTTTTTTGATTGAAGTAACTTTCCATGATAACATTATAGAAGTTGCAGATGTTCATCATGGAGCATCAACTGGAGTAGACACTACATCAAGGTCATGGCTGAGGGTTCAATTCCAGTCTTTACCACACAATTGTCCTCTTCTCCCCATAAGCCCCCTCCTTCCCTCTTCCTTTCTGGTAATGAATCGGTCTTATAGTGCAAAAGTTTATTTTTGTTTTATTTAGTTTGTCTGTCGTTTGTTTTCTGTGTACCACATCTGCGTGAAATCATGCAGTAGTTGTCTCTCTCTGTCTGGCTTAATTCCAAGCCAGACTTTAAGTGTAAACCCCTCTGGGTACCTCCATGTTGTTAAATGGCAAGTTTTATATGATTTTTATAGGCTAATAGTATTCTATTGTGTATCTATATACTTACATTATCCATTTGTCAGTGGATGGGCATGTAAGGGCTTCTGGTTTTTGGCTGTTGTTGATAACCAAAATATATCACAGAAACATATATATAAATGAAGAAACAAAAGTTATCATACTCCTAAGTCAAGCAAAAGAACTATACATTTCCTAATCAAAGAAAAAACAAAACAAAACCATGTTTACAGAGTATCTCCAAACTACATTGCCTAGAAAGCTTTCTGTTCTGATTTAGACTAAACATAATGAATACAATTTCGGGGCATACAGCTGAATTAATATTTTGCAGTGTAAATGGAAGTGCACTCCATAGTACCTAAGCTTGCCCAGATATTTAACTAAGCCTAAATTATAAAATGATATATTGCAAAAAAGAAAAAAAAAGCAACTAAAATTAATATATAATCCCCAAGGCTCAGAATCATGTATCGTTTAAGAGCGTGTAGGGAGGATGAAAATATGTAAAATGTCTATGTGATCTGTTTTAAAAGTAGAGAAAAGGAATACTGTAAATAATTGCAATCCACAGATAAGGCAAAACCTTGGGTATTTTGACTTTCAACATAGAATTAATGCATCTGCCACCCACCCTGAGTATCACTCTCCAGACAGATGCTTTGGGATATCTGGATGGAAAACCTTTACAATTATGAAGTTGTTAATAAGGTGTAGCTTCCCACAGCTGGCTTATTTCCAGCTTTGTGAGACTGGCCATCTGAGGAATGCGCCAAATGAACCTGGTAATCCATGCAACCCAGCTGTGGGCCCTAAACTGTTGCCTGAGAGATCGTGGTTGCCATGCAGATACCACCTAAGTTAACTCCCTAATATCCTAATAATTCATCAACAATCACTCCCATAGAACTTATTTAATCTCTTCCTCCACCTCCACTTCCAAGGAGAGGAGAGGGGTTAGAGGTGGATTTCATTGCCCATGGCATTTGAGGAGAATGGCATCCCTGGAGAGGACATGGCAGCTCCATACCCTTTTGCCATACCTACTTCTATGCATCTCTTCCAGCTGGCTGTTTCTGATTAATCCCCTGTGTAATAAATTAGGTATCTAGTGAGTAAACAATTCCTGAGTTCCCTGTGCCATTCCAGCGACTTAATGAAACATCAGGAGGGGTTCCTGGGATCCTCTGATTTGTATCCAGTGGGTCAGAAGCACAAGTAACATCAAGACTTGGGCTGGCATCTGACGTGCAGGGTGGTCTAGGGAGACTGAGTCTGTACCCTATGGAATCTGACACAATGGTTAGTGCCAGAACTGAATTGAACTGAATTGAATTCACCCATACCATTCTAGGGTGTCCTAGAATTGCTTGATGATGTGGGGCTCATCTCCCCACCCACCCTTGTGTAGCAACTGTGGTGTAGGACCCCTCAAAAACTCTAATACCAAAGTATTTTTAATTAGTATTGCAAATATAAGTGAATATCAACATAAAATATTGATTTTCCTAGAGTTCTGCCTACTTCTGCTCCTTTTTCCTCTTTGCCCAGTCCCCTGAGAATATTTCCTCCCGTCACAGATATTGTGATGTTTGCTTTATCCAAATACAGAGACTTCGCCAGGTAATTACTCTCCTTGTTGATTTATAATATGTAGATGAGACTAATGGTGATAAGTTGTTCCACTACAGCAAATTTTTAGACGACTCAGATGTAAAAAAAAAAAAAAGAGAGAGAGAATTCAACTTGTGAACATAATAAAACGCAGTTGAATTAACAAAGGTGGGTTCAATTGAATAGCATGCGCGGGATGAAAGGTATTTTTGTACTTCTGTGAAAGAAGCTTTTTTTTTTTTCTTTTTTACACAGAGATCATTTAAGTCCCCCAAAAATCCCTCTCAGACACTGTTTATTGAAGAAAATTTCATGATTGCCAATCACTTTTCCAGCTGAGCAGCAACCTACCTCTCTAAAAGGGGGACAGGTGATGCTTTTGAAAATACAGCCTGCATGTTGCAACACATTTATTTAAAAAATGCTGTTTCTATTATCCGTGAACACTTAGAGTAAATCCTCATTGTCAGTGGTGTTATCACCAGGAATGGTAAGTTGTTTTCATGCAAGAAGTTCAAACCATCCTCTGATGTGGTCAATTAGGGGAGCTTTATATAACTCCTTAGGCCCCACGGAGGTACATTTTGCTGTGATATTTTTTTATATTTGGGTTCTCATATCCTTCTGACCTACATAGCACGGGGGAGTCAGCCATCAGCTGGTGTTTCTCAGAATTGCTCAAG